TGCACTTCCTGTCAGCGCAGGCCAGTTGACCGCTCGGACATATGGGCTCTTCGGTGGCGAGCAGTGGACGGGGAGTACTGGCATCTGAACGGCATTAATGATTGCAATAAATATGAAAAACTAAATCCTAGATTTTTATGATCAAATACCGTGAGATTTCTCGCAATTATCAATCTTTAACTTAAAGTCACAGATCTGTCGGTCGACATCAAACCAAAGACCGGCACTACACCGGAATTCCAGCACTTTCTGTCGGGGGCACCAATAGTACTTCGCACAGTCTCTAACGCCAATTGCATTGGGATTACGATAAAATTTACCATTATCTATACATGGAACTCCATCCACAGATCCTACTCAAATAGTGAGTTTTATAAAATTAAAACTTTAATTAAAAGAGTAATAAAAAACGAAAACGCATAAAAATTATAAAAATTTATAAGAACTTCTAGGCTTGCAAATTATTAATAGAACTTACAATTCATATTACATTAAATTTATATAATATCAAATATTATTTATAATTTTTTTTAGTGACACGAAGTAAATGCCCCGAGTGTTGGGTTATTTACATTGGACTCATCATAGCATTAGTTCACATTAAGTTAGCTTTCATTTATGTTTTTAAAAAACATTTCCTTAAAATATGATAATTCAAAGAAAATAAGCTCAAAATCAATTGCTTTTAAATAAATGTTGAAATAGTTTTTTTTAAAAAGTGTAATAAACGTATCCAAAATATTCAAAAAGTTGATTACTATGCTAAAATCAACTTTTATTAAAAAACAACTCAAAAAAGTGTAAAACTTAGTTTAATCCAAAACTTCCTGATAAAATATAACAAATAAAAAAGTTAAAATAAATAAAAAATATGGCATTAAGGTAAGACATTCTTTGACTATTATACAGTAAAATAAAAATATTTTTTCATCTTATTGTAAATGCAAACAATAATTTAATTCATAATTCAAATTAGCCTTGTTTAAATAAATAATAATTTAATAAGAAATATAACATACTTTTAGTTTTTTTAATTCGTTTGTCAAAATTAAAAGTAACTATAATATGAAAAATAGTGAAATGTCGTATATTATAAGTACGCTGGTAATTAATGGATACTTTAGTATCACATGGTGTATGTGCACAATGATTGTGCAATGAATGGTCACTTACCGTCCTCGTCATCGTCAGCACCTGATACTAATGATACGCTTAAGACAAATAACGCACAAAATATATAAAACTTAAAAACAGTTATCATTTCTAAATATAACTCAACTCTTGAAGAGTTAGGAAACAAATGAAAACTTTATTGATTTTAAGGCCAAAACTAAATTTAAAAACTTTTTGTGTGGAAGCGGTGAACAAAACAGGACTAATTGTAATGACAGGCCTTAAAGCTGGTCACGCACTGACACTTTAATGCGATTCAATAGCTTTTAATAACAAAACTGGTGTACGATTGGAGAGATTTAATGAGCCTATAGTGTGAAGACTAGAAATGACAAAATAACAGCAATAACTGGCTTTTCAGAGAGACTACCGAACCGACTGCCAAAAGACTGCCAAAAGGCTAGATCTGCTCAGATTTGTATGCTTTCCACTGAAAAGTTTTCATAACTAACAACAGAATTGCATTCATTTCTAAATTTAAATTCTCAGTCAATTTCTTTTGTAGGACAACACTAATAGACACTAATCAGCAAATAATCAACAATTCCTACTTCTCTCACCATTCAAGTAATGGTTAACTGCTTTTGTTTAGAGATTACCGTTAAGACTAATAACCATTTTTACAACACTTTAATCAATCGTTTGAATTTATTCGAGTGAATCATTCAATTGTAAAGACAGATATGATCAACAATATAACAATCAATTTATAAACCACTTTATAATATCCAAGAATCACTTGAATCGACGAATTGGTGCCAACAATCGTGGCTTCGAGAGGGTCTCCTCTTTATGAACGGCCTGACAGGTCAAGGCGTGCGAGTCTACCACTTCTTCATCACCGCAGTTGAAATATCCAAGAATCACTTGAATCGACGAATTGGTGCCAACAATCGTGGCTTCGAGAGGGTCTCCTCTTTATGAACGGCCTGACAGGTCAAGGCGTGCGAGTCTACCACTTCTTCATCACCGCAGTTGATAAGTCGGGGCTGATTGTCGACACACGTGATGATAGCGTGGTTGTTGTAGAAGTATCGCGGGAACGGGTAGTACTTATTGGCCTTATCTTCGTGCGGACACGAGAAGCCCAACAGGTTTTCGGAACTGCAGCCAACTTTGTCGGGCCAATTGCACCCCTTTATGCGCTCGTCATAAAACAGACCCTTTTGACACTCTTTGCGCTCCGGTATTCCCCACAAACACTCCGAATAGAATACATTACACAGATTAGGATCGCCCTCATTGAATATACCGAACTGGTAGGGACAGCCATGTGTTGATATGGGATCGGCTATGGTGTGCAAAAAATAAGATAGGCAATAATCTCCAGAATCTTAGCTTATATAAGCTTTTAAAGCCATAATCACATGAAGTTATATAGAAATTGTGCATAATTTGTATAAATGAGTGAAACATACGAAGGAGTCTGTCTTTGCAGTCGACTTTCCACTGATGGACACAGAAGCCATAGACAGCGCCGTCAATGGCGTGCGCCAACCCGTTAGGACAGAATTCGTGCGTTAGAGTGCCATTAGTGCACAGGTAGTACTGTTCACATGCCTTCGGGTGCTCGTAAGCGTAGATACCTTCAGGCGGGCAGTGGAACTGACCTGTTATTGCCACCATCGATGCATTTGATCAATATTTCATGTCATTAAATAGATATTTGAGACATATTTCATACGAATGAATAGTAAAATTTCAAAGACTAATCAAATGCTTACCAAAAGTGAAGTCAGCGTTTAGTAAAATGATAGTCAAAACAGACAACTGAATTAGATTCATGTTTGAAAAAGTTTTTATTTCTACTTCAAAATGTATAATAAATTAAGTTTAATATTGTGTACAAGATTTGTGAGAAAGTTTGGTAAAACTTGTTCTCTGGAAATGGTGGTGAGAAAGGAGCCAATTATGTGCTGTAATCAATGCAAACGATATACAGCTATGAGTTAATAATGACTGATAAAAGTTGGGATAATTAGAGCATTAGAGCAAACATTAACTACAACTTTGCGGTCAGTCGTCCTTAATTTGTTCCACTTTTTTGCTTCATTTACTCCACACTTATTTAGTTCATAACAGGCATAGGAGTCGGGCGACGAGGGCTGAGCCGCCAATCAATACTCTTAACTTATATCCCAATCCAAGGTCTCTTACCTGTCGTACCGTTGGATAGAAGATTCCACAGGCGTTCCAACACTCGGTTCCAATGATTCCTGATTTTTGTCTCAATCTTTCGCTCGACCTTAAGCTCTATAACTGGCCTTCAATTGTTGAAAACCTATCACTTTTTATAACTGTTTTTACAGTTATGTTCTGCCAAATGAATTCAGTCCAATTAAATCACATTCAAAGCAATTCAATTCAATGCTTATGCTATTATACTGTATTTTCAATTTATATTTAACACATTTTCAAGTAAAATATAAGAATGTGATATTGAGTTCCGAGAATTTGCTTGTAATGAATAATTAAACAATAAAAAGCCGAAAGCTATTCAAATTGAAACTAATTTTCATTAAATACTGTATATTAGATAACATTTAACAAAATCATTTAATTTATAAGTTACAAAACTAGCGAAAAATAAAATATTCAACACATTTATTATACGTATTTATCTAAATCTAGCCTGATACGATATTAGATACCGGTATAATCTAATTTGTAAGCTTTTGAAATAATGTTCACACAATCCGATTACCGGTTTTATTAATATTATAATCGATTTATTTAATTAAAAATCATAAACTGATTACACAGTCATTTAGTTAATAATAATAATAATAATAAGGGTTTTTCAAAAGAAAAATTAATTAATTGTCGTTCCATACAAATAGTACAAAACATTAGTTAATTAAAATTGGGCTAAATATAAATACCTATCACTTATTGTTTAATAAATAACAAATATTTTAATAATAACTAAATTGTGATCAATTATTGATTTTGTTTCTCTATATTCTTCAAAACCTTTTTCCTCAGATGCTCTTTATATGTCTGAATAGTACCGTTCCATTTAGTAGTCGTTCCCTTCTCACAAACCCATATCTCTTCGGCCACCTATTCATACATTCAATGTATTTATTAATTTGGATAAATAAATCATTTGTGGTCTAAACCATACCTGACTGATCAGCCGGAAGTCATGGCTCACTAAAACCAATCCGCCTTCAAATTCATTGATAGCTTCGGCCAATGCATCAATCGTTTCAATATCTAAATGATTGGTCGGTTCGTCCAGTAGTAGGAGATGCGGCGTTTGCCACGCGAGCCATGCAAACACTACACGACATCTCTGGCCATCTGATAGTTGTCTAATCGGACATATCTGTTGCCGACCCGTCAATCCATATCTGCCAATAATTTTGCGCATTTCCTCCCTTTCCTTGATGTCAGGAAAGCATTTCATCATATATTCGAGTGCAGACAGGTTGAGGTCCAGCTGTTCGTGTAAGTGCTGGTGATAGCGAGCAATCTTCAGGTGAGAGTGAATTCTCACAATACCGTCCGATGGGACCAATTCATTACATAATAGCTTCAAAAGGGTCGACTTTCCCGCGCCATTGGGTCCCACGAGAGCCACTCTCGAGTCCAAGTCTATACCAAAGTCTAAATTCCTGTAAATAAGTGGAGTCTCATCGTTGTATCGGAACGACACGTTCTGAACCATAATCACTGGCGGAGGGATTGTACCACAAGAGGGGAAGTAGAAGGAGACTGTCTTATCGGACACCACTTTGTCAGTGAGCCCTCCGGCAACCATTTTGCCCAAAGTCTTCTCCTTGCTCTGCGCCTGACGCGCCAGTTTGGCCGACCCGTGACCGAAGCGGGCGATGTAGTCCTGTCAACACAATTACCATCAGTTATTGCTTTGAAATTTACAAAAAAAATATTTATAAAAACAAAATCTTAATCAGATTATAGTAAATCGCTTCGAGTTTTTGGATCATTGAATTCAAACACAATTCAAGCATAAGATTGAATTGAGTCCGAGTCCTACAACTCGGCCTTTTAGTCATCATTTGTTAACTAACATAAGGTTTGGTTTATAGACAAAAAATTATCAAATAATCAAAAAAAATAGGGAAATCAATGGATATCTGGCGAATGGATCCCGCGTACAGTACCTTCATGTGCGCGATCTGCGACTGTTCCCAATTGTATCGTTTCATTTGGTTCTCCAGCAGCTCATCCCTCGTCTTAACGAAAGCGTCATAATTTCCGCCATAATATTTCATATGCTTATTGTCGATGTGAATGATTTGATTGCAGACACCATTCAGAAAGTCTTGGGAATGGGATATGAGAACCAAAATGCGTTTATAGGACTTGAGCTCCTCTTCCAGCCACACACAGGCGTCTAAATCCAAATGATTGGTCGGTTCGTCGAGTAGTAGGAGATGTGGTTTGACGTACAGAGCTCTGGCCAACGCTATCCTCATTCTCCATCCGCCGGAAAAGTCTTTCGTCTTTTTGTTTTGCATTTCTTTAGTAAAACCCAAACCATTGAGAATATACGCGGCTTTCATAAGCGCTTTGTCGGCTCCGATCTCATCCAGACGTTCGTAGATATCCATCAACTGGTCCTGACTTTCTTCGTCGTCATATTGAGCCAACTCTTCGGCCAACGCTTCCAAACGAATCCTTTCCTTATCGACGTCGAGAACCGATTCCAGAGCCGTCTTCTCGGACGGCGGCATCTCTCGAGTCAAGTGATAGATATCGATGTGATCCTGAATGGGAACCTCTCTTCGGCCCAATGCCGCCAAAAGAGTCGACTTTCCGCACCCGTTCAGTCCGATCAGACCATACCTTCGGCCGCAGTTCAGCTCTACTTTCGTGTCCTGGAACAGCTCCACGCCGTGGAAAGTGATGGAAAAGTTGTCTATTTTTATGTCTCGAGAGCGCGGATGGATGGACAGCACTCCAGTACAGGCGCGCGACTCGGCGTTCAGATCCATATCCTTCTCCAACGACTTGACCAATTTCTCCTCCTCAGTAATGGCCGCAGAGCTGCCATTAGTGACCACCTCCTGGCCCTCCTGGCCTCATCAGTACCATTGGTGGCCTTCTTCTTGTTCTGGTCCTTCTGTTTCGCCATCTCTTTCTTCTTGGCGTCTCTTTTCTTCTTGTTGTCCGACGGCATTGTCTTCGCTATGGATTAGTTCAATGGATAATTCAATAAATACCACAACAAGTGATGATTTGTCCGTTAATTAGACAACAATTACAAGCAATGAGTGAATTGAGTGACAAATTAATTAATTAAATGATTGAAAACGTGACACAAAATGCAATTAAAGGCCTTTTGTAACGAATCGCATGACATGTGCACCGCTTGTGACGGCACTCGTGTAGACGTATTCACTCACTATTGCCTAATATGTGAGTCACCTGTCAGTGCAGTGACTGGTAGTGACACCACGTGTTCACTGCTGTGCTCTCAACGCATGGCTGGCCTTCCCTTCACGTGTTGAACACTGGGAGCGACACAACCGCTCACAACATGTTTGGCGCCAAATGTGAGCCAAATGTGAGGCCTCTGTGATCAGGCGCTCAACACCACTGCCCACAACACAGCCCTACCATCACCTGTCATATGGAGGTTGAGTTCGAGGCAGACATCCTCTTGGATGAAGAGTCCAACGATTCACACCATGGTTTGTATCATATGCTCATCGAATTCACCTTTCATTGTATCTCTCTTATGGTCACAGAGTGTGAAGAGCCCAACGACTACGACAATCAAAAGCTGTTCCACTTCTTTGAGTCGTATCTCAACAAATCCGTCAATGAGTCCGAAGGTGAAGAAGAGCCCGATCTCGAGGTGAACGATAAGTTCCGCGAGTTTGTGGTCAACAGAGCCGCCAAAACACCGCAAACCAATCGCTCCGTTCGTCACATCTCTTGTTTGGCGGACATTGAGAACCAGAAGTCAATCCTAAGACATAACACACCTAATCGGAGATCAGATGAATCTTTGGAAGAATCCATGAGTGATGTAACGCTTCCCTGGAATCTGATTGATATGCCAGAGAAAGAAGCGATTGATTTGATGAACACTTTAGGAGAAGATATAGAGAATAAAGAGACGACTTATCCACAGATGATCGCCAATCAGATGAGAGACAACTTCTCGAAACAAATGGATTTGTTGAGTGGTGTGATGCTCGACATGGAAAACACTTTCACTAATAGTTTGCAAGAAATTAGTGTCAAATCAGCTGAAGAAAGGGTTGCTTTCAATGAATTAATTGATAAGGAGTTGAAAGAACTGAATTGCAAAACTAAATTACTATCGAAATTGAAGTTTGATTTGAATGTCATTCGAGAGGTTTCCGAGAAATAATCATTTTAAGTGTTATTCAAATCATTTTTAACTTTCTTTATCATACTGTACCATATATGCCCAGTACGGTAATGCCGTATATCAATTTACCGGTATATACTTTTGTCTAAATCTATATCCAATATATAGTATCATATCTCACTTTTTCTTAATCAGTATTTTATTTAATAAACTTATTAAACGTGTTGTTTAATAATCTTAACAATTGTCGACTAATTAATGATTTTTTAATGCTAAGTTAGTTGAATTAGTTTTTGGTGATTAGACCTGATTGTGTTAAGTTTAATCACTAATTATTAAATAATAGACTAGTATTGTATTTTGAATTTGACACTTTTAGATAATTTTACCGCAATTAAAACATGATGCCTTTTACAATATAAAGATCCCATATGCTCACGTCATATCCACTAGCATATAAAAGGCATAAAAGTATCAAATTTATAATCAATAAAGTTGCATCAATTTTTATTCTGTTTTATTCTGTGGTAACAAATCAAATCACAATCAAATTTAATCATAATTAAGACATGATTATCACAAATAAATTTATGAAATATGGAGAATTTCAAAATGTTGTTTAACTTATTTGTAAATTAGTAAATTACTTCATGTTTTGAGTGGATTTTAAATTGTGAACAAAATATAGGACAAAATAATGAATAACGTGACAATAAATAAAGTTTGAAACTCGTGGGCAATTCCCGGATATATTCCCATAAACTATACTCTCATTGCACTTACATATCGGGAATACGCCCTAAAAGGAAGTAACTGTCGAACGCTTGAGTGTATTAAATGTAAACATCGATAAGTGTTTGCGACAAATAAAGAGATCTCTGAACGACATCTGACCAGCGCTTCCACTGATGGCCTATCAGTCGTATTACGGCAAACGTCGGGACAGTCCGCCCATTGAGTCGGGAATGTATGCTCGAGACCGGTCGCCACCACCGCAACAGTCTTATAGCGGCCGTCGATCACCGCAATTGCAACGCATCCCGAAGATCAGCGCCACGTCCTCTTTGGATGACTTGAGGAGTGAATTCAATCGCATCACAGGCGACACGCCGCTCAAGATGGAGGACATGACGTGGGATAAGATGGGCTCAAAGGTTCAGGATATGCTCGAAAGCAGAGCTAATGGTCTGTTCCCTCATTCCTCTCAATCCATTGATTGCATGTCATTGACAGCAATGTCTTTGATCGCCACAACAGATCCCAACTCTGAAGGACACTCTCTATTCCCGGCGCCAATGCGTAGGCGACGCGACAAGAGGGATATGCCCGTAATTATGACCACATATTGTCTTTGAATCGGTTTAGTAATTGATCTCATAATCTGTTTGTTTGGCAGTTGATTATCAACGGAAACATAGGTTTGTTTTATTGACCATCAGTTGTAAGTGTTGTCATTTGATTGAGTGATTGATCTATGGATCAGTTCCGCGCAAAGACGCCCTTCTCATTGATCTGGTTTTGAACAACAAGTCCACTCTTGACGCCCAGTTGAGTCTAACCAAACATCCAGTGGTCGGTATGTCTTCGGCTATTGTACGCCATAAGTGCAGAGACTTATCAAATGTTTGAAATACCGGTACTTAGGACTCGAGTATATGATTGAATACATCGATCCGGACGGTCAGTCCCCCAGAATATACTACTGCCGTCTCTGCAAACAGTTCAATACGTGTGCATCTGTTATGGAGCACATCACTGGATACAACCATCGCGTCAGATATATCGTCAGTCATGCCATCAATGAATTTGTCGATTACATTGAATTAATGATTATCTGATGCACTGATAGGCCAACAAATACCCGAATCAGGCGAAGACATACCTGTTGCCAGACGGCAGACGAGCCAACCGTAACCCGGCTCTCATGCGTATGGCTCAGGGAAGAGCTCAGGAACTGGAGCTCGTGTATGGCAGAGGAGACTTTGAGATCAGACACGAAAAGGTGACCATTCCTGATGAGGCACAGGTGGACGTCGAGTCGGATATCATAACTGTGGAGTCGGGCCAACAGANAGTCGGGCCAACAGACAGAAGTGCTGAAACAGGCGCTCAAACAGATCAAAGCCTGCAAACTGGAGGGCGAGGAAGATATTCGTGTCGCCAAACAGATCATCAATGACTTGACTGATGCTATCATTGAGTATAAGCAGTCGGTTCAGGAGAAACAGGTGAACGCCAGCATGAATTCGTTGATCTCTTCGGGAAGAGGCAACTATTGAGACATTCATTGAGACAACGCATCAATAGATAAACAATGACTTCTTAGAAATGATTGACTCAATTATTACGGTAATTGCAATTCCCTATTGCGGTAATTGTCGTGATTTGTAAGTTATAATTATTTTGACTATTACGGTCATCTCAGACTTTCTTTCAATTATACCGTACTATTCAAATGTAATTCTAATGTAATATATAATTACAGGTATTATTCACATATAAATCCATATTAATTACTAATTCATTGGATTTAATTGATAGCTATTATTACAATAATCACATAATTATTATATCATCTATTGAATCACTTTTTGTCTATTATGTACTGTATTTCTGTATTTGGTTTGATTTTTAATAAAAGTGTCAATAAATCAAAAGATTTTGAAATGATTGAGTGGCATATAATTAGTGTGAATGTCTTAGAGAATGTTAATTGTGTTGATTGAACCCGCAGTTGGATCTAATATACAGTACTACCGGTGCTGCGGGTTTAATAGTATAATGATTGTATGATACTGTATGGCAATTGTATGATAATACCAAAGTCTACGTGAAGTGTATGATTGGCAACAGATGTCAGCGCAAGTGAGTCCACGTTTGACTCCATTTTGGTTTTGCATTCATTTGACGTTTTGTTGACTACTTTGTAAACAAGTCTTCATGTCTTCAAGTCTTCATGTCTTCGCAAATGTGTGCAAATTGATTGTCATTTCATTGTATTTATAATTAACTGTTGATTTGATTGCGAAGTCAAGACAACACGAGTGGACACAATGTCACAACCGGCGCGAACTCACGAGGGTTTGTATCATTAGATTTGATTTGTTTGCGTCAATTGCATGTGAATTGGATTTTAATTGAAATGTCTTTTTGTGTCCAGAAATCGAGTCACAGATCCGCGACATTCAGGCTAAGAAAGCCAGCCTTAACACCGAAAATGGCAACGATTTGGACGGACGGGTGTCCATGTCTTTGTCGAAGGCCGCCATGGATTCAGACATTTATGGCGACAATCATAACAAATACGCCAATTATAACACATCCATTGCCACCAATGATGACAATGACTACGAGGTATGCATTGATATTCAGTTTGTTTTGTGCTTTTATTAATGAATTGTCTTTTTATAGGACGACG